CAGGCGGGTGCCCAAGGTACGGGCAGGTCCTGTATCCTGTGACTCCCCAGCCAAGGCCAAGGGCGCTCTGACCTGTTTTGTGCTCGCAGGGAAAAGGAACGTCGCTTCCAGGAGATCCCAGCAGTTCCCGAGAAAGCAGCCTGGCCAAAGAGGACTCTGATTCCTAGTCCATTTCTGTGTGTTTTCGAGATTTTCCTCACCTGCAGCAAGCTCCCTTAATTGGAAGGGGCGACACGTTTGAGTTTGGCTCCTACAGCAGAGTTTTCCTTGGATGAGCTATGTGCCACGTCCTGCGTCTTCAGTTTTCCAGGGATATTAATAACTCCAAAGATGAGAGAGGGATTCCCTATAGATGCAGTTTCCAACTCTTAACCTTGCCATTCCCCAAACCAAGTCATACATCTTTTTTTTTTCCCTTTTAAAGGTGCTGACGCTTGAGCGCTTTTCATGAGATACTTTTCTTGAGTATCTTGAGATGCTCCCATGTCAACTTCATGCCTGCTTTCTGCATGGAAAATACAAATTTACAAAACGGTGTTTAAATATTAAGCAGACTTCTTTTTCCCCTCAGTTTTAGTTATGTTTTTTTCTCTCTCTCTCCTTCCTTCCTATTTTTTGCGTTTAGGGTTGCGGGGCAAGATGGTCCACGCCGAGGCGTTTTCCCGTCCCCTGAGTCGCAATGAGGTGGTCGGATTAATCTTCCGCTTGACGATATTTGGTGCCGTGACCTATTTTACCATCAAATGGATGGTAGATGCCATTGATCCGACCAGAAAGCAAAAAGTAGAAGCTCAGAAACAGGTAGGGGTGCTGGACTTCAAGATTTTTGCTAACGTGCTATCTCATGGACTACGCTTTGTGCAAAGAAATTTGCTACCTCAAGACTGGACTTCGAATAACCGACAAATGAAGCAACAAAAAGCATGTTTGGATATCTGGATATCACAGAAATCAAAAAATTGAGAGATGTTTTTTAGCAAATGCCAAGGTCTACACTGTTGTTTCGGTTTGACACAAAGCAAACTTGACAAATTCAAACAGGATTTGGCAGAAACTATTTTAGGACGGAAGGTTGTTTTTCTTTTTTTTTTTTTTTTTTTTTTTTTGCAATGAAATCCTTAGTTAAAAATTTGGCTCAGCTTGCAATGTGAACTTTCACAATCTGTGCTAATGCCAACGATTATATAAGAGATTGCAATATCCCCAAAGCATGTCAGCCTTAACCGCAAAATTGAGTGTAGAGAGAAGGGGAATTGTGAAAGTGCGTTGACACAACAGATGACTTTTCCTTTTAAATGGGGAGAAAGAAAGCGCTGAATACAGAGGAAAAATAATGACTAACTTCTATGCATTATCTTTTTTTTTCTTTTTTAATTAAAAATAAAGGAATCTCTACTCCATACAAGTAGAAATTCTTTTTTAGAATAACATAAATGGTATTTTCCTTAAAAACGTGTTCCTGTTACTTGCAGGGTTGTGAATGAAAGGAAATGGGATACAGAAATGTGAAGGATCTCTAGAGTTCGCTTTAATGATTCCACATACCTTCTCTGCTGGGGTTCCAGCAGGGTTTTAGCCCCATTCTGGACAGCAAACCCAGTGTTATAATGTTTGTTTTGATTGCATCTCGGGGCACAGTGTATGGCTTGTAGATTCAGAGCCATGAGGAGGGTTGGTGTGACGTTTATCTGATGGGAACTCAGACATGTGACTTAGTTTCACTCAAGTGACTAGTAAGTCATTAGGAAACAGCAGAGCCTTCTACTTCATAATGTTTTGAGCAATTTTCAAATGTGACTTACTGAGAAGCTTGTGTTTCTACCTTTCACACTCAGAATAGCAGCTCTTAAAAACTAATTTTTGAATTAGCTAACCGATTCCTCCTTGTAATTTTTACTTAATCTTTATATTACTTTTTTTTGCTCCTCTCAGGCTGAAAAGCTAATGAAGCAGATTGGAGTGAAAAATGTGAAGCTCACTGAATATGAAATGAGCATTGCTGCCCATCTCGTTGACCCCCTCAGTATGCACGTAAGGGACTCTGCACAATTGCCCCGCTCTCCTATAGGAGCACTTCACACGTGGAAGATCTTGGCTGGATTTATTTGTCATGCAAATGTATATGTGCGAAACTATACAGAAAATATTTCCATAATTTGATACAAAAATTGCATCATAACAAAGACATTTTTTTAACCATGTAATTAGAGACTTTACGCTAGTGTGAAGCTTTTTATGAATTCTCCTTAAAAAAAACAACTCTATTTTTTTCTTGGCAGGCGTGATAAAGATCCCTAATGCCATTTTTCCATTATCAGGTCACCTGGAATGATATTGCAGGCTTGGATGATGTTATTACAGATTTGAAAGACACGGTCATTTTGCCCATCAAGAAGAAATACCTGTTTGAGAATTCCAGGCTCTTACAGCCACCTAAAGGTAGGAAGGAAATGTTACGGACTCCTTGGAGGAAAAAAAGATATGATTACTTAGAAAGGAGGAAATGGTTAACAATTATGGAAAGTGATAGTTAGGGGTAAGTGGCCAGGGAAAATCCTCCAGATCATGGTTATTCCTCCCTCCTTTTTATTTATTTATTTATTTATTTATTTATATTTATTTATTTATTAAAGATAAAATTGTAGTGAACAAGTGAAAGAGCAAGTGAATAATTGTTCTTTAGTTCTTGAAGTTACTTTTTGTCTCAATCTATGCAGTCCATTTGGCCTTCTGAAAATCCTCTGAGTACTGATAATTATTCCCTATGTCTATGACTATCTCGTCGTTGTTTCATGAACTACTTCAAGAAATCAGATAAGAAATAGCACTTTTGTAACAAGTTGCTTTAGTTTTTCCAGACTACTCATTGTTGAAGTTGCAGGTAGAAACTGTCTGGAGTAATGTCACGATCTAATAAGCTGAAGGAAAAAAAATGCATATTATTTGTTCATTTATTTTTAACCAGACTTTCCACACAGGGCAAGGTCCCCGATTTTATTAGTGCCTTGCATCATGTGTTAATAAAACGTCACTTGAGAGGGATTGTATTGCTTACGGTCACCAGCCATATTAACAGGAAAAAAGAACCTTTTTTCTTTAAATTGTTTTCTTTAAATATTAGAAACGAATTAGTGCAAATTGGTTCATTATGACAAATTTATCATACTTTAAAAGTCCATGGGTTTTTTTTATGTAGGTTCCCTTTTTCCTCTAGGGTATATTTTAATAGCAAGGTTGAAACCAACTATAAAAAAGGCCTATCAAACGCTCATAGAAAATAAATAGGTATTTTTTTTCAATTTCATCTTAAATTTGCAGTCACGAAAATAGAACAGTCATCTTTCAAACAAATGTTTCCCTTCAATTTGACAATATCCATTTTTAGATAGACTTATTTTTTATATTATGCTAAAGCTATGTTAAAAACATTACCATGTTTAATACGATGGAACACTACGAACTTGTTTGCACATCTTTTAAAGCTGGAGAAAAGAGAAGCCCGTGTGTAATTGTGGCCGCTTCACTAAAGCATCTCTTAACACCATTCCTTTTTCAGGGGTGCTTCTGTACGGCCCTCCTGGCTGTGGCAAAACCCTGATCGCCAAAGCGACAGCCAAGGAGGCAGGTTGTCGATTCATCAACCTGCAGCCTTCGACGCTGACTGACAAATGGTACGGGGAGTCCCAAAAACTGGCTGCTGCCGTCTTCTCCCTCGCTGTGAAGCTCCAGCCCTCCATCATTTTTATTGATGAAATAGGTAAAAAGAAAAAAATCTGCCTGCAAATGTAACAAATCACATTAAGGTCGATGGGTTGTTTGTTTAGTGCTCTTCAGAAAGAGCAACACCAGAGCCAGGCTTAGCCACTTGAATAGTGTGGAAAAACAACGATGGCAAAATAGGAAAAAGAGAGGAAATTTCAGTAGACCACGTTGCTGCATATTTTTGGTTGGGCTAAGCTGGTTCTTGCAGGAAGCTTTGCTTTTGCAAAGGTAACTGCCTATTCAGGAAATTCATCCCTGCTTTAACAGTAAGTGTTTTGTATCAGAAAGGACCCCAGCAGAGAATAAAATATGGCATTAGGAGAGCTCAGGCATAATAGTCTGACAAGCTGAAGAAGTAGTGGGAAAACTGCAGTGACGAAGGCAGCAAAGGTGCCAATTGCTCAGTGAAACTTTTCAGTTTGGATGAAATTGAATTTTCTGGAAATTCAGGAAAGGGAAAGTATGGAGACCTCACAATAAACAAAAGAGGTGGGACGATTCCGTGCGATAAGCATGTACTTAAGCAACATGCCTGGAAAAAAGTGTTTGAAAAAGAAGTGAGATTTCACTTTCTTATTCTTTGCCATAGGAAATAATTGCTGTTAGCTGTCAATGCTTGTCAAAAAAAAGAGTATTTGTAAACAGAGACAGAATAATATAGGTCTGCACATGAGAAATAAAATGATGTGGGATTGAAAGTAACCGCTTCCCTGAATCCTCTCACCAGATTCGTTCTTGCGAAGCCGCTCGAGTTCTGACCACGAAGCTACGGCTATGATGAAAGCTCAGTTCATGAGTCTGTGGGACGGTCTGGACACCGATTACAACTGCCAAGTAAGTCGAGCAGAGGCATGAAAAGCAGCAGATCTGCCTTGCCAATGAGTGCTTGTTGCACGCAGTGACCACCAGCAGCTTGCCTGCCTGTCAGTGTTAGTGATTCCTGATGTGTTGTGGGAATGAGATGAATTAGATTAATGGATCTTTCTGTTCTTGAGAAGGCTGTGCTTCTGTAGTTTTTTGGGGATGTTTTTGCTTTTTGCCTTAAAGTGGTCCTCCTTTCTGGAGTCTCTTTAAGCCTGAATAATGGCCCTGCAAACCTTGAGCTGCCAAAATTAGGAATTTTAAACAGCTTTGAAAAAAGATCATGTCAATCGTATTTTCCAAGAGAAGTGACTCCTTGATTTCCAGACAGATATTGGAAGATCTGTGTATGCATCCTAATTGCAGGGGTTTTATTTTGCTTTTGAAAAGCAGCAGACTAACAAATTTGCTTTGAGTTGAGAGGGCTTTTTTGAGATTTTTTTTTCTGATTTGGATGTTTGTTTGCTTGTTCTCCTTGATTTTCAAACCGGTTGGTTGCTCATAATTGGTTTTTTTTCACTGGAGCTGTTACCCGCAAGAGCAGAGCACCTGTGTGTAACTACTGCTAGAAGGGACCCTTAGTTGTTTGTGGAGCTCTAAATCCCGAGTCTTTTGTGTTTGCTTGGGCTGTTTGGGAGGCCACCATGTAAGGAGGCCTCTAGATGGCAGAGTCGCTCTGATCCAGGCTCGGGCACAGGCTGGAGCCCGCTGCGGAACACTGATCCGGAACAAAAGAGCGGCAGCCTGTCAGGACGCTCTGGGGATTGGATATTAATTTCTCTGGCATAATTCATTCCCTTGACGGATTATTTACTGTGTACATATCTTAAAACAACAAGTGCACAAGGCTGATGTGTGCTGGAAGTGAATTTGTTCTTAAACTAACTACTCTGCTCCAGTCAAGTGAGGTAAATACTCTCCTTGTATTGAATTTGGCCCATGTACAGATGTCACCAACACCTGTATGAGGAGAAGCCACTTGTTGCTTGAGCTTTGAAATGAGGCTCGTTGGGCTTCAGACTCGTGTGGGCTCTACCTATTTGTACCACTGCTTTCCTAAGCCCTCTGTTTAAATCTAGCTGCTGAAATCCGTACCGGGAAACATTATGTAACTTCCTTCAGTGCTCGATAAAGTTCGGGGTGTCACGTGTTTGGCTCTGGGACTCCAGGACAGCGGCGTTTTCGCTGGCTGGCTTCAGGCTGACTGGTTTTCTGTGTCGCTGCACGCAGGTGATTGTGATGGGAGCCACCAACCGGCCGCAGGACCTCGACTCGGCCATCATGAGGCGAATGCCGACGCGATTTCACATCAACCAGCCCGTAAGTGCGGCCCACTGTGCTTCAACCCTTTGCTTAAACGAGGGGCTGAGCAGTGAGCAGGTACCTCGTCGGCCAGGAAACGTCGGCCTCGATCCCGCAGGGGAAAGGAAGGGAGCGAAATCTGCATCCCGGGGCTTAGGCTCTGCTCCATACCCTCTGCAGTCAGGCGCAACAGGCAGTCTGGAAGACTGTTCTTGTACCCTTCATGACTACTGCCAAATAGTAATTAATATCTTTATCAGTTACACCAGCCGTCACAGCGTTAGCTGCTTCCATACATTTTGTTATGGTCATCCTTGTCGAAGTGTTTTAACAGCATTTGCACCCTTGATGCTCTCAGGAGTTTTGGACATGTTGATATTGGGAGAAGCGAACAAATCGCTTCACTAGCTGTGCTTTGCCTTGTTAGTAAGGATGTGCTTAGGGCTTTCTTCTAATAACCTCAATTATTAATGGTGTGTGATGAGGATTGCTTAAAATTGCCCAATAATGACCTGTTGAATTAAACCTTTTTTTTTTAAGCAGGCCTTTTTTCTCAGTTTTTAAACAGGCCTTGTCTCTCAGTTTTTAAACAGGCCCTCCTCATTCGAGGGATCAATCTGTCGCTGAAATTTGCCTGCAGGTCTGTGCAGTGCAAAGCTGAGAGGTTGCAAACGTTTCTTTTTGTTCTTTAATGACTTGAATCTCTTTTGTTTAAGGCTCTGAAGCAGAGAGAAGCAATCCTGAAGCTAATTCTGAAAAACGAAAATGTAAGTAGACTTCTTCTAGGGTTTAATCTGCTGTGTTGCTGTGGTGCTGAATGCAAACTCTGGAGTGGCAGAAAACATGTTTTATAATTGTCCTCTCAAAGCAAATTATATATCATCTACCAGAGTATTTCTGATTACAGCTTAGAAATCTGTTGTGGTTTTAGGTGTGGCTTCAAATTAAAGCAGAATTGTGTAGTGGTTTCAGCACCTGCTGTTAGAGCAGGAGTAGTGTCAGGTTTCTTGGTGAAACCTATCTCCAAAGAAAATCATTTAATTTCTGCCTCTGTTTCCCTGTTATATAACAAGATAATATATCCCTGAAGATGCCAAAGATTTTTTTTTTTATTAAAAAGGTCTAAAGGCAGGTAAAAATATTTAGAGGCAATTATGTGATGCACAGTGTAAATGGCTGGGAAGTTACCTTGCCCTCCCCTTTCTTTTTCGGACAGGTGGACAGGCACGTAGACCTCCTAGAAGTTGCTAAAGAAACCGATGGCTTCTCAGGGAGCGACCTGAAGGAAATGTGCCGGGACGCAGCCCTGCTGTGCGTGCGGGAATACGTGAACTCCGCCTGCGAGGAGGAGAAGTAGGTGGTGTCCCCTCTCCTTACGACAGCCGGGCAGCAACTGCGAACGCTCCCGCTGTCCCAGGAGCTTTTCCGCAGCACCTGACTCGTTATTTTATTTTTTTTTACCCCTCTTTTTCCTCTTCTGAAGCCACGACGAAGATGAAATCCGGCCCGTGCAGCAGCAGGATCTGCAGAGGGCGATTGAGAAGATGAGAAGGTCGAAGGACGCCACGCTGCAAAATGTCCTGATGCATGTTAGTCTAGATTAAGGTTGCCGAGTGTGTTGGCAGTTCCTGACGTGATTTAGTTTGTTGGCTTCTGTAATCAGTGGAAAAGACATACAGGGTGGCGGGGGGAGCTGGGGTGTTCTCTGAACAAGGGGGTTACGTTTCTGGAATTGTTTTTTATACCGCAAATTCTAAGTTATTGAAATTTAGCAATGTGCGATTAGGGATGTAACAGTAGATCATGACGTGGAACAATTACAGCCCAGACCAAGAGCAGCTGCCTGTGTCCTGTCCCGAATCGATGCCCTGTGTCGCCTTAAAGCAGGTGCTGATGTGGTGCGGGGGAGTTTGTGTATATATGTACAAGCGTGTGTGTATGTATGAAATGTATATATATCCACACATTTTTTTATATATCTAGGCATAACCTGTAGATAACTCGAGTATGGACAAACAAAACAAACCTTTTCTACTTGCTGAATCAAACCAAATCAGAAGATGTATAGATTAAAGGGTTGCCTGTATCCCAATCACACTTACTTCTTCCTTTCAGCAGCCAAGATGAAGGTAGAAATTCTGCTTCTAGACTAATTTCCAGGCAAAAAATAAAAATACTACTGCATTTTCTTTTATGTTACCACTTGAAGTCTGGTTCCATTTAGTAGAGAGAAAACCACTGTAAAAACATTTGAATACTTTTTGTTTTGTATGAATCCTGCTACTTGAGGATATTTAATGCCTTGAATGCTATTTTTATATTTTCCCCCCACCTCCGCTATGAGCAACGGGAGAGCAGAGTTTTCTCACCTGGTCTTTCGTCAAGGCCCACGCGTTAGCAGCTCTCTGAAAGATGGTGGTTTCTGACCGCTCCGCGGCGCGAGGAGGACTCGCTGCTGTTCCCGCTCCTCCAGGAACCCACGGAGGCAACAGGCTATGGTTTGCGCTGTGTTGTTTGTCACGTGCTCCCCTTTGCCACAGGCAACGGGTCTCAGACTGAAACATGTAATAATTTAGCAACGTTCTGCTGTTCTTGCCGGTACAAGTTGAATAAATCTATGTGAAATGATGCGATAAAGGCAAAGGGTTAAAGAAGTGGAAGTGGCGAAGCTTTTTGCTCGTGTTAGCCAATAGGTTTTTATCATTTTCCTTGTCGCTCCCGTTGGCCGTGCACAGCTGGAGTCCCTTTTGTTTGCACCCATGTTGTGCAATGCCCCTTATGCAACACCTGGTCGTTTGACTCGCTATAATTCCACGGGAGCCCATGGGGCTGGAGGGGAGGGCGTTTTTGGGGGTGGTTTTGATGTAAAAATCTTCCCCCACCCACAAGGGCCGAGGTGCCGCAATAATCATGTGTATTCTTTCAGCAGGGAGAGCGGGAGGACGCCGCAGCCCGGGCCAGCGTACCGGGGAGCCGCGCGGCTCCCTGCCCGGCCGGCACGCGCGGCGCCAGGGAGCAGGGCTGAGCGGAGCCCTGCTGGGGGCCAGGGGGAGGCCGAGCGAGCAAGGCCGGCCGAGCCCCTCCCCAGCCACGGCGGGTTCGGTACAGCCCGTACCCGACTGTCCCCAGGCTGCAAAGCAGCTAATCAGAAACCTTTGGAATAGTCTCAGTAACCGAGGCTCCATGAACGGGGTGTTTCTCCCTCCAGGGCTGCGACGGGGAGCAGAGGGGCGAAGCCAAGAGGGTGGCGGAGGCGCGGGTGGGAGCGGGAACTCAGCAAGAAGCGCCAAGGAGGAAATCGTTACAGGCATAAATATTTATTTGTACTAAAAGTGAGTGTTTTGCAGCAGAGTATCAAGTTCGGAATATATTAAATCATGAGATGCATCAGTCGAGGTACAAATTCCAGTCTCGTGTCTTCAATAAATACCCTATAAAAAAACAATCTAGGCGATGTACGCTATTTTAATCAGAGGTAATCAGCATCCTATGCTATTTTGAAAGGAGAACACAACCTTTAGGCTTTGCCATAACCACCTGGATTCACTGTGTTTTCCTGAACCACTTGATTAGTTTAAGGTTGAGAGCAACAGCGCTATTTTACTCTTTAAAAAATGGCAAATATTACCTATAAAGTGGAGTATTGCTCTTGTCTGTCGGGTCCCTGCCAGAGGGGCTCGATATAAAAGGCACTATGGCTACTGTGCTACTAACATTGTCATTGCAGCTCTTGTTTTTTGAGGTATAATAACAGCTTTGAGCTTTTTCCTCTAAACGCTTAAAAAAAATGATCCCCCCCCCAAAAAAAAAAATAGATGACATAATTGAAAAATAAAACACTTTTTGCCTAAACTATTTCCCATTACTTGCATAGTTTTAGACGCTGCAAAACGTTTCCCTTGAGGTGCAGCTTGCTAGGAAGAACGTGATTTTTTTTTTTCCTTAACGTAGATCCATTTGCAATTAAAACCAAAACTTAAAGCGAGGAGAAGACTCTCTCCAGTTCATTTACAACACATTCTGTCTAGTTCTGGGGCTAAGAAAAAGTAAAAAATGATGGATTTGTCGTTGCACGAACTATCGAGCGCCGGAGCAGCAGTTTCCTCCCTCGCGCCGGAGGAGCCGCGGCGGCAGCGCTCCGCATGCCGGGGCGAGACGGGTGACGGCGGCCGCAGGAGCTGCAGGGAAGCACCACGCGGGCCGGCCACGTCCAGCCCCGGAGAAGACGCTAAGGAGCCCGCGGCACCTCTCCACGAGCCCGTCCTGCCCACAGGGCCAGCTCTTCCCGCTGGCGGGAGGACGCGACGGGGAGCCGTGCGGACGGGCCCTTCCAGCGCTCCCGCAGGTCTCCTGGCCTCGAAGGTGCCTCCCAGCACGCGGCCGTTAAAAAAAATCCAGTTAAAAAAAGGACTTGAGAAAAATCTTGCTCTTTATCAGCAAAAAACCTCCCTGTTTACTGGGAGACCCTGTTCTGGCCAGCAGCAGGACCAGCTGGTCGAGGGCTGAAGACAAGTCACTGCTTTTTTTCTCTTTCGTAAAGGGGACGAATGTACTTTTAATCATTATTAATTAATTATTGCAAAGTCCCATCTCTGCATCAGGGACGGGAGCACGGCCACAGCAGCACAAAATGATCCACTCTGAATCCCGTGCGGGGCGATGGCCTTCCGGGGCCGCATCCCGTTGGGAACGAAGGGCTGCTCCCCTTCCCAGCGCTGCAGGGAAGCTCTCGGCGCGTTCCATGGGAGAGGGATCAGCCTCAAACTATTTTTGATTAGTTAAAAAATAATAATAATTAAAAAAAAAAAACTCTGACTTTGGAAAAATCCTAGAGTCAGACTATGGAAAATGCCAAGTAAACTGATCTGTTATCGCAGGAAATCAATCAATCACTGCTCACTCTTAATATACACGTTTCTAGGGAGAAGGAGCCCTAATTCTTTTTTTCCAGTGACTGGTAGTACTCGGTCAGGACTTTCCAAGCTTTCGGGGCCATGAAGCCGTCCGGTGGATCTTCCCCTTCCCGAGCAAGTTTTCTCATGCGGGTTCCGGAGATGAAGTCAAACTCGTTGTGCCTACGGCAAAGAGGGAGCGAGACGGGGAGGAAATGAGTGCGCGCTGAACCTTTTTTCTATCTCTTTCAGAATTGTTTTTCTTTAAAATGCCTTTTTGTTTTTCCCCTTCTCTCAGGTAAGCTGCAAGCCAGAGGCACTCTTAAACCAAGGGCAAGGAAAAGCCGGTGCCGCTGCCCGGGTTACCTTTTGGGGTCGTAAAAATCCATGGCCTTTTTCACTTTGTTGTAGGCGGCGACGCGGAAGGGGATGATTTCCACGGAGGTGAGGCCAGGGGCCATGCTGAGCACCTTCCCGCCCTGCGTGGGCTCGTAGAGGTCCTTCTTGGTCTCTGGGTGCGGCATGCCCGCCGGGTCTCGGCCCACGATGTAGAAGTTGGCGCCGGCAATCATGCGGGCCCGGCAGTGCCACTGCACCTGCGGAGAGCGCCGTGCCGCGCGTCAGGGGACTCCCAGCCTCCGGGCCTCCCCGGGAACGCCGCCAGGCGTCTGGAGGCACCCGGGACACCCCGCCGTGCGCGAAGCTCAGCAAGCGCCCCGGGAGCGGCCGGCGGCTACGGTACCTCTGTGGGGCCGGCGTAGAGCATGGGAGAGGGGAAGATGGCGACGATGGTGGACTTGGGGTCCAGGACGTGCTCCTGCAGCACCGCCGCGTGCTGCTTCATGCGCCACTCCAGCGGGACGTCGTCGTCTTTGGTCCAGCCGCCCAGCGGGTGCAGGAGCAGCACGGGGTTTTTATAGCCCCGCTCCAGGAGCCGGCGGCGCGTGTCCTGCATGAGCAGCGCGTGGCCGTTGTGCACGGGGTTACGCAGCTGAAACGCAAAGACGGCGTCTGCAAGGCAACCACGGAGAAGGTCACGGGTCTGGACGCCGCACCAAGCAACAGCAGCGTCATTCAGGTGTTGTGCACGTTTACACCCCAACCCACGCGCGTCCGGTGGGGAGAAGCTCCCATCTTCCATGGGGGAGATGGTCTGAGCCCAGGTGGAAGCTAAAAGGCACTCGCTGCAGAACTGGCCACGTGGGGAAGAACAGAGAAGTTACCTGAATTGCCCAAGCTGCTTCCAAATTCCTCCAAAACTGTTCAGGAAACAGTACGGATTTGTTTTTATGAGCCCTGGCTGAGTCATTCTGGTCATCAAAATGAGCCAAGCACAAGGAACTGAGCACACCAGGCTGCAGGGGCTCGCTGAAAACCTCCCTTTGCAGAGCGCCTTGCAGCCTGTGCCAGGGCAGGGCATTTCCAAAGAGGCCTCTCGAGATCAGAAGCATCAGTTCATAAATAAGGGGTTGATTTAACGGGGCAAACCTCTCTGTATCCTGCACCTGCTTGCCACTCGTCCCATCAAGCTATCTTTAAGCTTAATGACCAGTTGACCATCATCTGGCCAACTCGGCGGTCATCAGCATGGCTACGTCCAGCAACTCAACCAGGGGGTTTCTAGCAGCTGTGAAATCCCCAGGCTCCAGTTCCCTGCCAGTCCTGAGTCACTGCAAGGAGCCAGGCCCAGGCTGCGGGGAGAGCAGCTGTGACAGCAAATCCAGGAGGGATTTTCCTCTGGGATGCCCAGCCTGGCTTAGCTCTTC